GTTTGAACCTTTGACAGAAGAGACAGGGCATAATGGGACTAAAAAAGGGCCTGACAGCTGGTCCACCGCAAAAGAGGGAAGGAGACACAAGAGGCAAGCTGCCTAACTCATGTGGGGCTGGGTGCCACTTCTAGCAGTGTGTAGGGGGAAAATGTTTTTTTTCTCAGATTCGGGTATAATAAAGCCGAATTTTTTTCAGTATTTCCAAATATACCCAAATACCAATACTGGTATTGTACTGCTACCCGAAAATATTTGGCATTCCTAAAAATTTTCAGCTCCATTATATCCTATGGGGCCATTGTAGTCAGTGGCAAAAATCTTCTAACAAGTATTCAGGGGGCTGGGGGGAGGGGGTTTGACATAGAGGCACCAAATTTGTACTGTATCTTGTGGAGCCTCTCCCCAAAAGAACCCCAAAGTTTGGAAAAGAAGGTGCCCCCAATCTTCCATTGTTTCCTATGGAAGAGGAAAAAGGCAGGCAGCAGTGTCTCCCCGAGAACCTCTGTACTAGAAAGTAAGTGAGGTGTGGTGGTGTGAGGGGGCATGTTTGTAAGGCCAGCAGCAGAACCAATGTAATGTGCCTACCAGAACCAGTGCCACTGTGGCAGTCTGTGCCCAAACCCAGCAGGACTTAGGTCAAATGTGAGAATCTCTGGGGGCATGTTTGCAAGGCCAGCAGCGGAACCAGTGCAATGTGCCCAGCCCACCAGAACCAGTGCCACTATGGCAGTCAGCACTCAAACCCAACAGGACTCAAGTCAATCTTAGGATCTCTGCAGTATAAAAGGGCAGGAAAGAGACAAAAACAGCAGGAAAAAGAAGGTAAGTGGAGCCCTTTAAAGTTAAAAACCTCCCAGAGCCTGTATTCAGCAATGCTGAAAAAGCCGAAACCCCCCCCCCAAATATTTTTGGGTTTTTATTGGCATTATTTGGCAGCTGAATCAGATCAGGGAATCTGATTCAGTATGCTGAATACCTGAAAAATGCCGAAAAGACATTTTTGGTGTTTTTTTTCTGGTTTAGCTTTACCGAATGCACACCCCTAGTCACTTCCTTCATACCGTGCAGAGCTCAGATGGACCAGAAACAGCCCTCCTGCCACAGGGCAGGGACATTTGGGAGGCATCTTTGTTGCCCATAATGGCCAATCCACCTCTGGCTGTAGGAATCATGGCCCTAACCCAGTCCTGACTGCTTGCTACTGTTCCACAGCAGCCACACCAGAAAACCCAGTTTTGTGTAGTGGGTAAAGTTTGGACTAGAATCTGGGAAACCCAGGTTTAAATAACCACTCTGCCATGGAAGGTCACTGGATGAGTCCCCCTCTTTCCCCCTAACCCACCTCACAGAGTTTTTGTGAGTATAAAATGGTAGAGAAGAATACTGTAAGCTGCACTGGGTCCCCATTGGGGAGAAAGAGGAGATATGAACTAATAAATACAACTGAAGAAGGTGGACAAATAAAGGTTTGTTGCTTTGTGGGTGGGAATGAGAGAAGAATGCAGAGGAATTATGGGAGCTGCTCGGAGGAGGAGGAGGAAGAGGCAATAGTGTGAGGAAGGGGATACAGGGGAAAATGAGGTACCCTCTGCAAGTCCCCCAGGGTTTCTCACTAAGCAACTGGACATTGCCTGGTGGCCAACACAGAACAACTGAGCCATTTTTTTCCTGAGTAGAGACTGCCAGAGGGAAGGGAAAAGAAAGATCAAGACAAGGGGCAGATAAAGATAGGTTGGTTGGTTTGTGGGCAGGAGAGAAGGAAGCAGAAAAGGGGGAGAGGATGTAAGGGCTTTCATGGAATGAAAAGAGGAAATAACAAAGGAGAAGAAAATGGGATGCCCCCCACAACTTGTTCCACAATTCTAACACTTGATATCAAGTAAAAGAATACTGACAGACATCTGACAGTTCGAACTGAAAGAAACTTTCTGATGAAGAACTTGGTGGCAGTTTTTGAAGACAGGATAAGCCTTTTTAGGAGATGGAGCTGCATTACTAACCTGGGATGGGGGAGATTTCAGACAGGCTAAAGGCTAAACTGTAAAATGGCACTAATTATGTAATGCACCCTCAAATTATGTTGACCCTATGAATTAATGGCCATCAAAACATGCTATTATTAATAGCCTTGCTTAGGCACTAAATATACCAATATATTTATACATGGACAGTCAAGTTTTCAATATTTTATATCATGATCCATACCCACCTATAATTTTAAGGGCTCCACTTTTCAACTTCTATATTACACTCAACTACCTAAAACAAATAATGCAAAGTTGCATTTCTTCTTCTCATTCAAAGCAGAAATCTTTCTTCTAAAATCAGGCTAAATTCACCCACCTATTTCTGAAGCAGTAAAACCCTATGTGTTGAATTGCAAGTTTTGTGTACCAAGTCATCTGGGACATCGTCTGGGACATAGGGAACATGCTCAAACATGGGATTGGAGCAAGGCCATAGGACTGGATCAAAAGATACTTATCCCATGAAGGAAGAAGACCTCCTATCACAGGAGCACAATTATGAATCCAATCTCATGGTTTGGATCCAATCCAGATGTGAACTTGAGCAATGCTTGGCTAAGAGATCATTCAGAACCTAAGGACTCTGAGTCTTAAAAGAAAAAGGAACATATAATAAATAAATGCACCTGGATCCCCATTCTGCTGTGCAAGTTCATTGGATGACTGGGCCAGTCACACACACTCAACCTTGCTTACCTCACAGGGTTTTGTGAGGCTAAAATGGAGCAGTAGAACGATGTAAGCCACATCAGGTTCCCATTGGGGAGAAAGGCAATATATAAATGAAGTAAATAAATAATAAATATAGCAGAAGGGGGGGGGCAGACAGAAGGTTGGTTGGTAGAAAGAAGGAAGGAAGGGAAGTCGAGGACATAGGGTCTGCCAGGAAGAGGAAAAATATAAGGAGGGGTATACAGGGAAAAGTGAAATCCCCCCCAAAGTCCTTGCACAGTACCCACTGGGCAACTTGGCCCAGCCTGGCCAATGACACAGCTTGCCCAGCTCAGCCAGCAATAAGCAACTTGGTGCTTGGGGGGCAACAGTGGGGGGGCTTCTGGAGTTCTGACCCTGCTGGTGGTTCTCCTGATGGCACCTGGGTTTTGGCCACCCTATGACAGAGTGTTGGACTGGATGGGCCATTGGCCTGATCCAACATAGCTTCTTTTATGTTCATAACTGTTTCTGTATCACTTGGCCACTTTTCCCAGGGAGAT